CTGTCCAGAGGCAGTGGGACAATGGGGCAGGAACTGAGGCTCAGGAAGCTCCACCTGAACATGAGGAAGAACTTCCCTGTGCAGTGCCCAAGCACTGGGACAGATTGCCCAGAGGCTGTGGAGTCTCCCTCGCTGGGGATAGCCAAGAACCACCTGGACACCATCCTGTGCCCTGTGCTCTGGGATGGCCCTGCTGGAGCAGGGAGGTTGGAGCAGATGTCCCACAGTGGTCCCTGCCAGCCTGACCCATCCTGGGGTTTTGGGAAAGCAGCAATTCATGAGTGTGCTCTCACTGTACCTGACATAGTTGCTTACTGAGCATGATGTTCAAGATTCCAGCATTCCTCCTAGTACAGAAGGAAACTTTAAAACCTAGGCAAGGTACAGTGATCACTGCTCTGGGATGTACAAGGTGAGGAGTAGCCAGTCTCACCAAGCTGGGAACTCAGTACCTGGAGCCTTTCTGAGGAGACAGGAGCTCGAGGTCCTTCTGCTGCTCAGACCCATCTGAACCTGCCACGTGGCAGTTTTGAGACCCGTTCTGGAATATGGGAACTGGGGGAAACCATTTTGACTCAAGTTACCCAGAGGTTCAGCACAGGGAACAGCCACTGCTGAGGCCAGGCACTGCCTTTATTGGAACAGGAGTTTCCAGCAGAGACCCCCATATGTTTAATGAATTGCCTCATTTTAAAGATACATCTAGAAGTGCACTGACTGGAGTCTCCTTCCAGACTTATTTAATTATTTGCATTTTAATCATAATTCAGCTTGTTCCCTAAAGCATTCATTTTTTTTGAGTGATGTGTTGCATGTACATATGAAAATACTAACCTTAATGCTGTGTTCCTACAGATGAGGATGAGGATGATGATAATATTGAGATAGATACTAATGAGGAGGCTCCTGAATGCTCTGTTACTGGAGGTGGAGATGAACTTACTAACCTAGAAAATGACCTTGATTCAACGGGTAATTTAAATAATGGCTATTTTGTGTATTTTGCATGACTAACACTCCATCATCATATAAATACTGATGTGCTGCTTGTCTCTCTGTCAGCTTTATTCTCATGTGCCTTTTCAGGTCTCTTAAACCCTAATGTTTAATATCCTGCATTCATGTTTAGTTGAAATTTAAAATCAACAAAATCATTATTTCCAACTATGTCAGATTTAAATGTCTCTGGCTCTTTTGATGGGAAAGGGGCCCTAGGCCACATTGGTAAGGCAGAGCCACCTGAAAGCATCCTGCCTGAGCTGTGCCACGTGGGCAGACGGATGAGCAAGTGTGTGGGTGACTACAGCTGCCACTCTGCACTGCCATCCTGGCCCATCTGCTAAGGGAAGAGGAGAAAATGTGTCTTTCTGTGTTCATATAGACTTGGTGTCTCTCTGGTGCCTTTCAAGGACCAGTTCTTGTGTTTACACTTGTTGCCCCAGTGGGGGGCATGGAGGTATAAATATGAGCAGAAACAGTCCTGTTTACTTAAGAGTGTTCAAATAACAGGTGTTTTATAAACACATGAAGTCACAGGAGTGTTTCTCCCCCCTTTCAAAAAAAAAAAGCCCAGCTGGAATTTAGGTGATAAATGTGGTGCTGAATCCATTGGAATCTGGTTAGCTCAGACCTGGAGTAACTTGGCCAGCACTGGACTGTGTCTTGAAACAGGCAGTACAAGAGAGAATATCTTCAGCATCCTCTGGCTTGATTCTGCCCATGCTAGCTAGACCCAAATGTGTAGTCCATAATATGTTAAATAAGAACCTTATTTAGTGTTTTTTCTTTATAAATTAAACCAAGAGTGGCGTGTATATAGCACTTTGTAGTCTTGATAGCATGCAAAGGATTTGAGTAATGTCCTTTATTTTTTTCTGTTTGAGTATTTCCGGACACATAAGAAAATATATTTACTGTTTCCAGCACTTGAATTTAGCTTACTTAAATCAGAATCCTGTCAAATAATTTTCCAATAAAAACTGGTTAATTTTAGAAGGAAGAGAAGCTGAATAAGTGAATATTCCTGTCCCATTGCCCAGTGACCTACCAACATTTATTTATGTGGGCCTTTTTTTCTGAGAGGTACCTTTTCAGGGATACAAACCCACTGCCCAGTTCTCCATGTCCACCATGGGGAGACATCCTGGAAAAGACCTGGGACATGATTTTGCAGTTCAGTCTGCACAGTAGCCAGGGATACAGACAAGTAAGAAAGAAGATGAGCAGTAATACAGAAAGCAGTCCAGTGTTGTAGTAGAAATCAGACTACATGAATTTTGGTTTAAATCTCCCAGTCACACCAAGTGTAGCCTGAATCTCCTGGGAACACCTAAAAATGTTAAGTGACATCTCAGATTTGGGATCATTATGGACCATCTTAATTAGTCCCATGCTGAATCTTAGCCCCTCTTATCTCTCTCAAGACGAAACTTGTTTTTACTCCTTCTTGGTTTAAAGTACCGCTTCTGTCTGTATTTGTCAGTGTTTCTATGTGTTGTGAACCTCTTATATCATGGTTATTACATGATGTTTATGTATAAACCCACAAGAACGTGCATGTACTTACATGTGAGCCTCAATTAAGGACACCCTGACTGGGTGTACCAGAGGAAAGGGAAACTATCCTTTTTCATAATCCAGCCCAGCCCATTGCTGCTGGAGACAGGCACCATTTGACTGCCCACATGCCAAAAGTGTTTTGGCTAATATGCATTGGAGTGCCCCAAACCTTGGATGGAGCTGTGTGGCTCAACAGTCATGACTCCACTTTCCACATCAGCTGGAAGTCACCACCCTGCAGTGAAAAACTCAGGTTGTGCACGTGGGAAAACTAAGAACTGCTCCTTCCTCTGCCTGTGAGCCAAGGCCCAGGTGTAAGCGCATCCCTCTGCTGGCTCCAGTGCAGGGGTGATTCCTCCCGTGGGGCTGCATGTAGAGGCTGTGTCTGGGGGCTTCTGTGCCAGTGTTCCTCTGCTTCCCTGGCCAGGGGCAGCTCCACAGTCTGTGCTGCAGCTTGCTATTAGCGCCTTCCTTCTCCTTACGTGTGTGTGTGTAGGTAACTCCATGTGTAGGTGTGTTACAAATTCACACAGCCAACATTGACATACAGAATGAGTATCAGTGGGAGGTAAAGTTCTCAACTGCTATTTATTTGGGCTCTGATCCAAGTTGCTAAAATTGATTAAAAAATTTGAGGGCTTCAGCAGACTTCGAGTCTGTCCCTTTGATGCAGTTCTGAAGCATTTTATGACTCCTAGTTTCAACATATTCTATGAATCATAGTAAATTATTACTAGAAAGTAGTCTTTTTTGATACTGAAATTTTATGAGAAGCTGTGCTGAGAAGAATGAACTAGTATTTAATAAACTTGAGGGGTTATCAGCATGTAAATTATATGATAAATTTTCATCTTTAAATAAATGGCTTTTTAAGCGTGTTTTTATACCAAAATATAGGTATGTTCCCATTGGGAGTAACTTTAAACATTATCTACTTTCTGTGTTTTTCATCTGCTGTCTGCAAGCATGTTTACTTGTTCAGCTGTCATGTATGTTTCCCAAGAAAAAAATCTATGTATGTTACACAAACTTGCACCAACTCCAATCACAAAAACAATTCCTTCTATTTTTTTTTTTTAAGTTCAAAATGATAGCAAAGTGAATTAAATCTACCTTTTAAATTGCTACATTGTTGTAGCGAGTCTGCATTGAAATGCATCTCACTCTGTTGTATGTGGTATTTGCATATTTAGCAGAACAAAACAGTATGTTGGTGGATTTGAAGCTGAAGAAGCTCCTAGAAGCTCAGCCACAGGTGGCAAATTCACTCTCCAGTGCTGCTCAGAAAACTGTAACAGATAGCTCAGAGCAAGACATTAAGGTAAGTTTAGCTTAATGCTTTTGTTTTGGTACCTGTCTGTTATGATCAAGGATTTGTATTTTGTGAGGAGGAAAATAATTTCTTACCAAATCTTTCAGAGTCAGAAACACAGAAAATCTTCATGGCAGTGCGGTTAGGTATGCAATGCACTGGGCTTTTTCCTGTTGATTGATCAACACATTTTCCTTTTTTATTTTTTTTTTCCTTAATCTTGATACTTGTCATTGGCAGAACACTAACAACTATAAGAAGCTCTCTCAATTCTGCTGCTCAGGTTGTTACTGATATCAGAAATGCAGCACGGGCTCCATCCTGCTGCTGGTGGAATCAGCAGCTGGGCTACCTGACCTGAATGGGAGTGGGGTTGGACTCTCAGAGGTTTGCTTCCCTCTGTTGCTTCCCAGTCCTGGTCCTCTGTTTTTCCTACATTAAAATTAAGCTGTGGTACACTTTAAAGGCTTACATACTTTGGGTGCTCGATGAGTGCTTCTGAGAAAATCAGACACGAGTATGTGGTGTATATGGGCACTTTGCCTATTCTTAATGTTCACCACTTCAGCATAAAGTGCCCACCAATCAATTTTCCATTTAATTTTCTTAATTAGACCCCTTTTGTTCTCGCTATTCTATTTTTTAAAAATAGTCCCTGTATGTCATTAATATCCCTATGGCTCTGGGGCACTTCCAGTTGGGTATAACTTTTCACCCACCTGCAGTCTGTGGGGAGAGCACTGCTGACTGAAAGGATTTCCTTCCCCAGATACAGAGATGCTTTGAAGTCCCAAAACAATGACTTTCATTGCTTTTCCCTTACACTGTCGGTTCCTATAAATTGGTGATGAAAGTGTGTGGCAGCAGCAGAGGACTTTCGGTCTCTATCTTTGAACAAAAGGAAGCCTGGATCAAGTCTGATTTTTGCGTTCAATTTAGCTTTCTGCAGTGGATTTAATGCAAAATGAAGCTGGCCCAAGAATAATACAATGGATTGAAAAGGCTAACTGAATTAGTGGGCTTAGAGGAATACATTTGTAAAGTGGCAGAAGTCCCCAGTCATAAAAAGGTTTCTTAAAATGGGATTTACTAGCTAATCACACTGATATTTTAGCATGTTGCCAGGCCTAAAAAATTAGCCATGTTTGTTTATTTTGGTAAAGACTCTAGTTTAGGCTGTCAGATGGTTATTATACTAATAACAAGAAGCTACCTTTTATTTAACCAAAACCTTACAACCACCTGACTAGTGCAGCTGAAAAGTCATCCAGAGGTATAAGCATTACTTGTTTAAGCCTTAATTCTGTGAAATGACACACAGGCTGCCTCTTAGGGTAATTTGGTATCATCTAACCTGACAAAAAATTGTATTTCTCTACAAAGAGCATTTGTGAAGCTGTTGATTTTTTTTAAGGTTCTCCCACAAAAAGGTGCAACTTAACAGTTTATCTCTGCGTGCGTCTTTTCTAAGGAAGAGTTGAAAGGCGGCGTTATAAGGAATATATGGTGTCCATCTGTTCTCATGGAGCTCTTGGCATTGAGGTGGATTTGTTTTTTAATAAAATGCAGTTTACAGGTTTCTAAATGAGGCATTCTGTGTTTGTGGAAAAGGATAAACTGTTACCTTCCCTTGGGGATTGTGTATCCCCGGCCTCCTTGAGGCGAGAGAATAGGCCGTTGGAGAACTCCCTCATTACCGATTGTCTCAATGCAGAGGAAGGGCAAAGTCTTGGTAGCTTTTGATAACCAGTTTCAGCATTCAGCAGGCTTAGCTATTAGTCATGCATCTTAGCCTTTCTCTATTTACTTTCAAAACACTTAATAAAAATAATAAAAGATTAGGTATAAAATGAAATATTTGTTTGGTACACAGCACCTCGGTATCTGCAGCTTCCACACACCACAGTGGTTCAGTCTTCTGGGATATTTTGTGTTGATAGAATCATTTGAATTTGTTACCAGTATTAACATAGGAAGCCCTGGAAAAGATAATTGTAGTTTCCTTAGCTGTAAAGGGCTTACTTACAAATCTGGCTTTGGAAAGTTATAGCTGATGAAATGCAGTTCAGTGGGGTAGCATTATAATCCTACCTTTTAGACTTCATCCAGCATTAGTGGTTTATCTCAATGGGCATAAAATTAGAAACTAGTTCTTCTTGTCATACAAGTCTATGGGACTACAGAAAACAACAGATTTCTGTACCGGGCAGGGAGAGAGGCTAAAGGCAACACGCTTTAAAATGATACAGATCGTGTTCAGGGGCAGAGACGCCGCGACTTGGCAGCAGCAACACACAGAGCTTGGCACAGCAGAGGTGCAGAGGAGCGAGTTTTTGTTTAAAATGGGCATCGCTGGCAAATGCCGGTCACAATGAAGAGGTCTGCTTGGTAAAGAAGTAGAGAGTTCTGCAGGAGGGTGCCCACAGAGCAGAAAGCCAGTTGTTGCCACCACATATTGAACAAAAAAAAAAAAAAGGGAAAAGTTAATCGCTCTTCTACTTTTTTCCCCTGCATCTGAGACTTCCATCCAATGTAAACCACGGCCCGAGTTGTGAAATCCACTTTGTAAAAGCTGCGTCCTGTCCCCTCAGAAAAACGTACCTTTCAAATTAATGTCTTCCCGCTTGTAAACAAAAGAAACTGTTGTGTGTCTGGTTTTTTCCCAGCAGAATGGAACAGAGGAACATCGTGCTGAGCGATCACAAAAAGCAGCAGAACGGTTTAGAAATCCCGTTGTGTTCAGCAAGGACTCGACCGTCAGGAAAACTCAGCTCCAGTCTTTCAGTCAATACGTGGAGAGCAGACCAGGTAGGAGAAAATATAAAACCTGTTTTCCCATCTTATGATTTAATAATATTTAACAATAAATATATGAAAACCCGATAATGTAAGTCCACATTTCAATACATAAATATCAAGCTTTATAATAATTTTACATGTCTTTTCCCTTTTTTCAAGAGATGAAAAGGCAAAGATCAATACAGGAAGATACAAAGAGAGGAAATGAGGAGAAGGCTGCGATAGCTGAGACTCAGAGGAAGCCATCAGAAGATGAAGTGCTTAATGTATATTAATTTTTTGTCTGGTTTCATGATTGCTGATAATTCCAAACTGTATGTGGAAATAGTGCCTTTATTTGTTAAAATGAGATGTTAGGGTTTTTTAGATGTCAATCTCCAGTGCATTCAAAGCAGAGTGAGAGGGGTGCACTGTTGAATTAGTCTGCAGTGTGGTGATAATTGTCAGATAAAAAAAATGAATTTTTCAGAGTTCCACAGCCCCAGCTTCCTTGAGACATTTCCATCAGGGCACTTCCCATAAAGAGATTCCAGTATTGATCTACCGGGAGGATTTTAATTATTACAATAGCAGATACCGCAGAGCTGCAGTTAGAGGGAAGAGTCACATGAGACCTGCTAGAATTTCTCAGCCAACCCATTTTGTTGGCTTGGGTTAATGGGTGTTCAACCTTTCCATTATCCAGATCAGCCGTGAATTACTAGCTGAATGATGTTTGCATTAATATAATATATATGGTAATTTCTTCACTTAATTAACGGGGAGGTTCAGCTCAGTAGGGGTATGGGCTGATCATGTGTAAAATTGATTTGTGAGGGAAATATTTGATAGACCGCAGGGAGAAAGCTGGTTTTGATGGACAGCTGCGGGACAGAAGCAGGAAGAACCAAGTTTTAACCTGAATTTTTTTTGTCTGAAAGCGCAACACAGCCTTTGAGGGTGGTTGGTTGTTGGTCTCCACAGTTTATCTGAACACATTTGTCATTTTTGCTGAGGCAATCTGGAGCTGAGTAGCAATTTTGTACTGCTGTCATATCTACACCAAAACATCGAACTTTTTACAAGCCGCAGTTATTTTTAGCCCAGTAGTACTTTTGCAGAGCTGAAAAGGTCTGGCACAGTGAGTTCACATTATATATGCAGATGATACACATGAACTCTTGGGATATTACAGCCTGACACAGCATTTCTTTTCATCTTCTAATAGCAATTGTTAACAATTATACATGCTGACATTAGGGAAGTTTTCATACTATTTTCAATTAATTATAGTTGATGAAAGGCAATATATTGCACATCACTTCAACTCCCCGGAATGAATTTTTTTCTTTCTTCAGGGTCTGCTCTCAGGGAGTTTTGGTTTTGTTGTTGCTGTTTTTCTGGCTATACAACAGGTAGAAAAAGGTTTTCCATTAGAGATGCTACTGTTGGCTGTTGTTTAGGAAGAGAGGGACCAAATTAATGTCCTTAAATTTGGATATTCCAAATTTCAAAGTTCTGTGCTTGTTGCTGGTCCTGGGAGCTCATCCATGCTGTTAACTTTCACTTTGAACATGTCTTTATTCGAAATAATATGCTGATGTGTTTATTATGCCTGCTGCCCAAATATGAAGCTGAATTGATTATTTCAGACACATTTACAGAAAAACAACTGAAAGCGTTCAGTGAAAGTATCTGAGACCCTTATGCAGCAACAAGTTAGCCTCTAGTAGGGAAATAAATCTCAAAATGGAACAAGCCTGTGTATTTTTCTGTTCACAAAGGACAGTGATTTTTGTTTCTTCCTTTATAAGATGTAGATGAAACATGAAATAATTTTGTCAGGGTTTTTTTTACCTATTTAAAACATTCACCCAGGCTCTGGGTCAGGTGTAGGAGGAAAAAAGTTCATGGAAGGTTACTTGGAAAGAGTAACATGTTTTTCTTAACTTATGCAAAAACATGCTTCAGAAATTACATTTGAGCATTGTGTACAGCCACAACACTATGTGAAAGCTGTTGAGCCACATGAGAATAACTTGGAGGTACTGAATGCCTTTGCTTGGGTTCCTACGAGACGAGCAAATGGCTTTGGAAATGCTTGGAGATCCTTGTGGTCGTGTGCAGGGCAGTGCTGAGGAATTACAGGGTACAAGAGGCAGACTTGGCTTGTTAGAGTGTTCCCACAGCTTTCTTGGTAAGGTTCAGTAGGGTTTATCAACGTGGCATCCCTGGGCTGCCTCCTGGCCAGTTGTGATTGGTACTGAGGCAGGACAGCTCTGTTGGTCCCTGTGCACCTGAGTGCCTGCCCAGGGCCTTGTCACCTCTTTCCAGGATAAGAGTTGGAGTTAATTAGTGATGTTTTACAGATCACCCTGTAGAGAGGCCAGTTCCTTCAGTCAGGGAAACCCAGAGGGGCAGGACAACCCAAGCTGAGGGTCCTCAATGCTACAGTTGGCTCAGAGGAGGAAAACAAGCCGGTGATTTTGTTCGGGGTTTGGTTTTATCTTAAAAGCCCACTTTTTAATTGTCATAGGACACTCTTGTGCTAGTTTTTCTAGCCCTGGAAGTTAATTTTTTAAAACTGAGTCAGACCTGAATGGAGTAGAAATGGCACATTAAATAGTGCTTTATTTGTATTACCTTTCTTTTCATGGCACTTTGTTACAGAAGCTTTTATGCACTTAGAAATTAAAGGAATTTCAAAATAACTGCCAGCTGGTAAAAAACTGCAAAATCAAATGTTCCCTAAGGAAAAAACCCAGGGTATTTTAATAAACAAATAAGGACATTTGGCAAAATTGTAAAGTTTATGAAATGTGTTAGCTTTTTGGTAGTGAGCATGATATTTGGTTGTTTAGGTAAGTGCCTTACTAAGTGTTTGTGGAAAGGAAAAATGCAACTTACAAGTGATGTTTTTTCTTCTTGTTTGTTCTCTTTAACAGAAAGGGTTCAAAGACACCAGTCAGTATGTTGTAGGAGAATTGGCAGCACTAGAGAATGAGCAAAAGCAAATTGACACCCGTGCCGCGCTGGTGGAGAAGCGCCTTCGCTATCTCATGGACACAGGTACGGTGCCCAATTACACTGTAAACAGTTTTGGCAAATTGAGCGTTCACAAACTCTTATAGAGTTTTGGAAGTGTGAATCTTTGAAGCCTGAATGTTCAGCAAAACTGCCTTGAAAATAAAAAGGCTGCGATTTGCAGCCACCTCTCTGGGCCCTGGTGATAAGAGTGCCTTCATGGGAAGTGATAACTTGCCCTGATACCGTGTGAGCCAGCACTATTGAACAGTGTGCTCATCCATGCAGAGTTGGAATACACATCTGTGCCTCATTGATATGCCACTGCTTAAAAAAAAAAAAAAAAGAAAAAAAAGAAAAAAAAGAAAAAAAGTAAGATCTTCACTGTTCTACTGATTCAGTGGGAAAAAAAAATTTGGCCAGCTAAAGCCATGTACTGCATGAAACAGCACAGTACATGGAGGAAGGCTCCATTGACTAGATCACTGAAATTTAAGAATATTATCTGGTTACTGATGCTCCACAATTATTTTATTTGTTTATTTTCAGGAGGATAGGTTTTAAAAGTCTGTAATACTTGGTATTGTAGGTGCCATTGAAAGGATTAAAATATATGGGCAATTTTTTGTTAAAAGCATAATGGTTGTGACTTCAACAATGAACTTTAGATGGATATTAAGTGCTGGTGGTCATCAGAGATGGAGAGGTAAAACCATATCAATTGGAAACAAAAGGTGCTTTGGTGTTTCAAAAATAAATAGTGTTGTAGATCCAAATAAATGTTCTTCCTGTCCAGGGGGAAAAAAAGTTAGTTGGTCCAGATTACTTTGTGGGTAAATTGTCTTTGTGAGTTATATGGGTATTTGATGTCATAAGCTTGAAGCCTGTCTTTAACTGAAATAATAGGTTTTAAAGTAAATTAGAATCCAGTGTTGCGTTTTGTAAAACAGATGAATAGACTTCAGTTAAAGTCCAATACTTTGAAATGAGCCTGCCACTTGTTTCCAAATATTAGGGTGTTTTTTTCAACATATTTACTTTCTCATGTGCTGAAGTTTTTAAATTTTTAAACTAATTTTACAAAAACATGTAAATCAGAAACTATTTCCATGCTGAGTGGATGCTTGTTTAGTAGGACTCTTACCTATTATGGCCTTTTGAAGCACTTTTTCAAATGTGTTGCATCTTGATCTTTAGTTATTTAGCTAGAAAAAATGTGTGTGTATTATCCTGCACTTTCTTGTGTACTTTTTTGTATTTGTGAAATGCATGTTCTGCACAAAAGAGCCAATACAATATTTTGCAAGTCTTACACATACTCCAAATACTGCCTATAGATACATATGGAGTCCTCAGCATAGCACTTGGATTTTAAAAACTCTAATAAGCATGTTATTATTTTATTTATGTCATTTCATCCATTTTAAAAGAGATTTCTTACTGATTTTATTTTCTTGTATTTTGAAGTATGACAAAAGTTGCTTTATTCTTCCTATCAGACCCATGGTGAGGTTAATTTTTTTTATAAGCGTCCTGCATAAAATAGGAGTCTAACACATAGCTGGAGAAGTAAGAGTGTAGTTTAGGGGTTTGTAACTAGGATACTGATAATATGCATCACTTCTTGGACTGGGGAGAAGGGGTAAGTGGTGCAGCCATAATAAAATATTTACTTTTACTTTTAACATTTTCTGAGCATTCAGGATTTAATTTAAAGCAATTGATTTGACAAGTCAATTATAAGCATCCTATTTATGTTCTCAGCTAAAAAAAAATGCGATTTAGGAGAAAAGATGTGAAAACTGGAGTTTTTAACTTATAGTTAACTTTATAGCCTTGAAAGCAGGGATTCTCAAACTTCTCTCACTGTGGTTCCCATCTTACCAGACAGCCTTCAGAGGATCTGCTGTATCTCATGTCATTAGTGGCTCTCTGTCAGGATGGCACTGGGTTGTCTTCCATACCTCTCAATGGGAAGCAATTCCTCAAGCAGACAAATCAGGAGCTTGTGCCCAAGTCTTCATCCCAGCTTCTTCTGTCAGAGTCTGGCATCTTCACCTCAGTGTCTGACTGAGGGAAGGACCTGGAAACAAAAATGATGAGTCAACACCATATGACCTGCCTGCCTGCAGGGGCCACCAAATGGTCTGTGAAGCCAAGTCTGAAGGAAGAAAGTAACCACAGCACGGGAGCTAGAAAAGCCAGGAAGGGCTGTTGATGATGATCTTGGGGTTTTGCAAATACTTCCTTAGGTGTTAGTACACACCAGAAAGATGAGAAATATGAAATGCTGACAGCTCTCAGAGTTGTTCTGAAAATTCTTTTGATGTTTGGGTTTTCTGAAAATGCAGGCTTTAGGAACAAGGAAGACACTTGGGTATGTGTAGCGAAAGATCCTGAAAACTCAACATGAAGGACAAGAACCACAAATGAATTGATTTAATAATTAACACACTTTTTAAATCACATCTCTTTCTTAATTTTTTAGTGCTTGGGTTGTAATACTGGAGAACCTCAGGCAAGTAAAAGTCTCTGCTGACCTTATTTCTCAGCAGTTGAAGCAGGTTACCATGTTTGTACATTTGTGTCAGGAAGGGCTTACACTAAATGGTCCTGTAAACTGTCTGCAGGGTCACAGTCCCCATCAGTGTGGGAGAACATTTGGTACTACCATTTTCAGCATTGTTTCTATGTATGCCAAGACCATGCAAGATAAATTTAACAACTGAGAGATGCCATCATGACTCAGTCATTTGCCTTGAAATTAAATTCAAGAAGGTAGAGCATGGTCTGCTCAACCCTGTTGTGTCTGCTGGGGACTGGACCATCTTTTCCTTCTTCACTGTGCTTGGCCTAGTTCTTTAGTAAGACTTACTAGGAAGAAAACACTGTCACTTGCTTCTCATCCTTCTCCAGCACTGAACTGGGGGTGTTTTTTCCAGTGGGGAGACTCTTTGCCACCTGGCAGCTCTTCATCCTTAGGAGTTCAAGAGTCCTTTTTGTTGCTTAGCCAGGAGAGATTTTTTCAGGCAGCAGCTTGAACATTATTCTGTATCATTCATTTCACAGAAAACAGTTATTGTATCCTCTTCCTGTCAAAACATTTGTTTTACTGTTGCACCTGTCTTGGTGGGAATTTCCTTACTATGGGCTAGTGATAAGACCAGAAAGGTATAGTGACTAACCCTTGGACACTGCAGGCTTTGATAAATGTGGAAGTCCTATGGTTTCACCAAAAGAGAAGCAATTGTAAGTATAAATAATATATGTTCTTGATTAGATCCCAGCTCATGGCATTGTTTGACTTTTTTAGATATTTCACATTTTAGAGAAAGTTTCTAGCACTTAGGATTGCAAATAAAAGGTTGAAAATGCCACCCTGGCTTTGATAGGGACACAGTGACTGTGGGTAGCTGGGAGAAGTTACTGGGAACCTGGAGGTTCTGGCATGAACAAGGAGAGAGGAGTCCTTGACACAACTGCTCTCCAGTCCATTTCCTAGGATGCAGCCTGGGTTGCACAGTATCCATTCCACCTCTGCCTTTGGAGCTGCTGCCCTCCATAAGGGAAGGGCATCTAATGGAAGTGGGGCTGTAGGAAGACAGTCCAGGTCCTTGTCTGCATATGGATTGCCATTTTCCTGCTCTGCTAGGGAGCTGTTTTGGCTGGGGAAGTTTCTGGCCCTTGGCCAGAAGGGAGCTGCTACTTTCAAAGTTCGTCAGCGAGGCACAGAGTTTGGAACTGGCTGAAGCTTTGCATTTCCGGTGCCAGCTGCTCATGATTTGACTAGAAACACTTTCCTAAGATGTGTGAAAAAATAAAAGTTATTAAAATTCTTGGGTTGCTGATTTCCATTTGAATCTGAGTAGTCACACTTCTATTAATATGCAGTAATTTATGTCAGTGGTGGCATAACCTCAGTCCTCAGTCTTTGCACTTATAATGAAAATGTAACCTCACCTTGTTCAGCGCAGTGTGGTTGCTGCTCCATTGCAAAGCTGTGAGGGGAATCAGTGCTTCAGTGCCCTGAGCTCCCTGGAATAACTTCATGGCACCTTTGCTGTTGCTGTCAGGATATAGGTAAGAGTTTATTGGAAGGATTTTGCAACATCCACCCTATGAAGGACAACACCACAAAAAACTTGCTGGGTGCAAGTCTTTAGAGAGAAGGAAGCCCAGATATCCAAGTAAGAGGAATGAGTTAAATGATTGAGTATAAATATCATGATCTAATATCATTGATTTTTCTTCTTCCTCTGTTATAATGGCTTGAAACTAAATGATGACAGAGGTAGGATTATCTTGCTTTCCTTGGGATTGTATTTACCCATGTTGTGCCTTACCTGCTATGGGTAAAATAGTATTGTCTCTGCTTCTGGCAGTGTCTTCCTCCACTGCAAATTCTTCCATCATTGCATTTTAAGGTGTCCATCATCTTGATATCCAAATGCCAATTAAAATGCAGAATTATCACATAGCACAGTTAAAATAAAAGTCAAAGCATCCTGGTTTACAAATCTCTAATCTAAAATTTATCTCTTTTTCAGTCACCGTTTCTTCACTAATTGCATAAACAAGTATTTGAAAAAAAATTTTAGCTATCAGATATTTTGTTATCTGGCCACAGGGTATGAAGTGTTTTTAATTGTTTTTCTGATTAACTTCAGGCTCCCAAATTCAAGTAGAAGCATATTTGTGTTTTCAATGTGAGATCCTGTACTTTACTAATGGATGAGTATGTTTGTGGTACTGTACAAGGATTAATGAAATTTTAAAAAAACCCTCTGCTGCTGCTGATTGACCACTGATGGTAAATGTAATTGAATTAGCAGTGCACTGAAATAAATGTAGACAAAATAAATATAGACAAGAAAATCTGGTGAAAGCTTCTGTAATGTTTTAGATTAATAGGCATACAGAATTCTTCACATTTTTTATTACGTTGTCCCTAGATGAATTCAAAGTAATTGGGGTGGTTAATTTTATTTACACAGAGCCGTTCACAGCGCATTAAATAATAGAGATAATTGAACAAGAATTGTCAA